TATATATATATATATATTATGATTGAATTTAATTAAATAGAAGAAGACTTAAAAAGGTTAAAATTATTGTATTAAATATCACTTATATATCAATGATAACGTAAATATCAGTTATATTTGATACAATGTTATGGAAAATTATTAAACTAAATAATTAGTAGTTGTATCATATATGTAATATTACATCTTAGAATGTGAACAAAATCACAAATACACAGTCACTAGTTGTTGATTTTTTTTTTTTATTTACATTTTAAATAAATAGCATAAACTGTTTATTTTTATGTGTTTAGAAAAAGAAATTGAGTGAAAGAATTGTAACAGCAACTTTTGTCTTAGTTTTAAAAAACGATTCAAATATAATAAATATATTAATTTGTTATATAAACCTTCAATAATTTACGTATTAAAAATTTAAATGAATTCTGATTTGGGAAAATGATTTATGAATATAAAGATACTATATGTAGATTAATTAATATTTCTCAACCAGCCAATTGTGTGTAAAAGGCAATTAATAATTAATATATTCAATTCAAATTTATTTGCAATATACTCCAATAGACCTTGCCTCTTGCCTCTTCATTGATAAGACTATCTCTTTTTTCTTGTGAGTTGCAATATATAGTTCACTAATAGATGCATTTTTTTTATAAATTGATAAATAATATTCTATATATTTTAGACATTTATCAAATTATTATTAAAAATTATCACTAACCATATTAATTATTAAAAATTAATAATGAATATATTATATTGTTATTTAATTCAAGTATACTTGAATAGTCATTATTAATTTTTGTGATGTGGTTCTCCTAAGTTTCTTATCAACACTGCAGAAGCAGTGTTTGGAAATTATGTCAGCCAATACAGAATAGTAGTCTCTCTCTCTATACCTCTCTGTGTACTCTGTGAATTCTGTTCTTTTCTGGGCACCAGTTGAATCAATAATCTGAAGTAGGGGTATCCAAATTTGTGGCTAAAATCTAGAGTAGTACGATTAATAGAATGTTTGGTTATCAGTTTTAACAAATCAAATCCATGTCAACCACAATGTAACAAATTATTCTCCACTTCATGCTTTGAGATGTGTGAATGTCCATTACAAATTAAACAAACGGTTCACAAACATGTTCTAAAATTGCTGACACATAAGAAACCATACACAAAAATACTTATTTTGGAAAGTGAAGGCATTACTCCACAAGATTATCATGGAAACACAGACAGCTAAAAAAGAAAGGAACAACTGGCATGTGCATAAGAATAAATATAAAAAGTCCACTTGGAGGTTGAAATGAAAATATTCTTTAGTTTCCAGTCCAGGATAAGAGATATATCTATCATTATATAGACATGTCAGCATATCAATGAACAAAATGCACATTAAAAACAATCAAAGATCTGACAGGCAGCTGACTTCTTATTAGCTAGGAATAACGTAGAAAAAAAAAAAAAAAATAGGAGCGGGAGCGAGGGCAAGGAACGTAAAACCTGCCCCGTATTGTCCCGTTGCCATGCCTACTTTTTATAATCCTGCCAAGGAGGTCAATTGATCCTCACTTGATTTTGTAGTGTAATATAAATTATTTATTTTAAATTAATTTTTTTATATATTTAAAATATTTATTTATAAATTTTTTAAATATAGTTCGTATATTTGAAATATAGTATTTATTTACATATGTAATGTTTTTTTTATAAAATTTAATTATATAATAAATATTTAGTCTATGAATTATGCAAGTTAAAATATTAGTAACTGTTTATGGTGGATTTCGTTTTATGGATCCTTTTTATTCGAACTAGCACGATTTCACGTTTCAATTTATGCGTGTTCGTGACATGACAGAATTGAAGACTTTCAGTGAAAAAATAAAATCGTACAAGTAAGAAATAGAGTTTTCATTAAATGGTAACAGAATTACAATTCGTAAGGATAACGAAACATATTTAGAAAGATTACACTACACTAGACTAGATTATGCTATGCTACGCTATGCTATGCTACTCCTAAAAAAGGAAAAAGAAAGGTGGTCGAGAAATCGTACCCAAAGCTGTCTCGTACGCACAGTATGCCTTATGCACAGGCTGCGGAGTGCATGTGAGGTATTGTGGGAATTAGATTTTTGACCTTCTGCTACGAGCACGGCTCGTTTAATTTATAGACAAAGATTTGGGAAAGGTAA